TTATTTCATTCTTCGTCCTATGTTTTATAATCTTTTTTCCTTGGGAAGACAGAAAAAAAAGGAATAGTCTGTGGGAAGGTGCATTGGGTCCCCTTCACCAATCATCCGCGGAATATTGGTTGAGAACCTCTGGTGGACGGGTTCTGCATGGAACGACGTTTAGTGATGGGCTCGGAAAGAGGGGAGGTTGGCACGCTTCATTACCTGATGATGCAGCGGGGTCTCATCTTCGTTGCGTAATTTGCATACTCCAGCGAGTCTTGATTGCAGCGCTCAATGTTTTATTGATCAATAAGTCCATGAGTTGTTCCCGGTAGACTTTGATGGGCTCTTGAATGCCTCACGGCACGAGAACAAGGATTTAAGCTTTTTTGGTACTTCACAATATAATACCGATTAACTGTGCTGATCAGTGGGTGCCTTTTGGCCTGGGAATTCAAATACTGTATGTTCTTGCATGGTTAATGCCGATGAACAAAGAATCTGCATTAGTCAATTTCAAATTTCTAAAATGACTTTCATGTTGCAAATTTCATTTGCATACCATTTTTCCAAGTACTTTACATGTGCAATACAACAATTCCGGATTTATCTATAAAAAGAGAATTTGTGCTTTGCATTGAAAATTTTTGTAAAAAGCAAAAAGACTCCTACAGGAATGGATTAGCAATGTTATACCTGGAAACCCTTTGTGTATTCCAATTCTCGGCAAAGGGTACCAACTAATGAGCACAATCAATGATTATTCTACTGAGCCACAAATACTGTACTTCAAATCCTTGCACAAATGATCAAACTCTATTAAGACATTCCGATGAAATGAAAAAATCAACATTAACGAACCTCTGAGTGATATAAAAAATAGATTGAACTTCGGCCGGATTCGACGGAAAAAAATCGTACTGAAAGGATAATTTAGATTCCTTCGAGTCGACTGAATCGCAGTCAGATGCCAATTCAAGTCTTTCTCACATTCGACAGCTGAAACACTGAAGCAATTCAAATATTCATGTACGTGGTAAATGGCCGCGGAATGTGTCATTAAATCATGTATTTGCTGGACATCTGAAAAAATAATATGTCTTGCGAAACTTGGTTTGAAATCTTAATTGAAAAATTTGCCGTTTCTTTTCCATCGTCCCTGCTCAAACCTTTCAGTCTTCTTAGACCATGAATACTCATCGTTTTGATCTTGCACATGATCCTACTTCGAGGCTGTACTTTGAATTCAGCTTCACCCGTAGTATAGTGTCCCCTAAATTTGTGCAATTTTCCCTGACAAATCATTTTTGATCACCTTGGTACCTTACACAGTTACTATACCATCATTGATTGACATTTCTTCGTAACTTATTAAGCAGGGTGACTGGAAATCTTTTGTTTGTCAGCCAGGGCATGAAAAAAATACAGTGTCCAAGAATACAGAAATGAAAAATGAAAGCCTTGACAGATAGTCAATTTCTGGGAAGATGCCAATTTTCCCATTAGTACACAAAATTTTTGATGAAAAAATGAACATGCCAAAAATTGACTGAAGCTGGGAACATTTTTGTATTCATGGTGCACCTGAGTACAGTATCTAGAGAACACTACAGTTTAGTTCCTCACCCACCCCCAAACGCCAAATCTTGGAGTTGAGTTAATCGGCCAAAAAAACATTTTTGAGACATTTTTCCAAACCGATATTCGCTCGAAATAAATGAAAAAGTAGAACAAAATTCTGGCTCTGTCATATGGCCCAATAGGATAAAGAAGAACCTTGTATTGCCCAATGGTTGAATCAAGATTTGATTTTTTCACTGAAAAAAAAAATAAAGCTACTTCTGGAAAGCCCACTTTGCACACGCGTGGGAAAACCCCATGGGTTTCCGTCTCACCCACTCATCTCTGGAGGAAATCACGCGTCCCGCGGGAAGGAAACGAGGAAGACACACCATCGGCAATTCCTTTCCGCATTTCTCTGGCTCCTGCGTTGAGTCGATGACGAGCCCCCAGCAGTTGTACAGTATAGACGTACAAACACTACCAGCACGTAGATCAGGGCTTTTCAAACAGTGGTACGCAAACTACTGGTGATCAACATGGAAAATGACAGTTTAATGATAGGGAATGATAACTTTATATGGGTCAATTTCACACAGAGAAAATCCAGGAAATATTTTTGGTAAGTCAATGTGATGGTGGACAGGAAAGATGAAAGATGGCCCAACTGATTTAGGAGGGGTAAAGGCATTGAAAAACTATTTCTGTCATTTTTTCTTGTGTACGTTTTGAAGCAAGGATGGAGGGCAAAGATTAAAAGAATTACAGTGAGACCCCCACATGCGGACGCCTCGACATGGGGACAATTCAACATGGGGACATTTATTTTTTAACAAAAAAATCATAAAAAGACCCAACATGAGGACACTTATTTCGAAAATGCAATTTTACCAGTTCTTTCGTAAGCTAAAATTTCGCATTAGCGCGATTATAGGCCGCCCTTCACCCCCCCCCCCCTTTAAAAAGACTCGGATGCGGCCTATGTTAGATATTTTGTAAGTGGAAACCGATTGTCTGGAAAAAATAAGTCAAACGAAAATTATGTTACTGACTTTGATGCCGAAAGTCCTTTTCCGGTGTACGGTAATTTCCTGGTATTTCGTTTAAAACTCACTTAAACTTTGTGCGATTACAATTATTATAACACTTCATAATTGAAATACGATTCGTCACTCTCGAAAATTAGCGGCCAGTTGAGTTAACTTTTACCGTTGGATAGCTGAACGTATAAAACTCGCTCAAATGGTGTGAACATCATGAACTCTTCTTCTTTTTTCTTTTTTGGAAATACCGTTACAGTGAGTCTTGGAAGACGAAGCTTATAGTCTTTTCTTTGAAAGTATGAAATGCGTCAGATGAGGAGCTAAGTGAAAATTTTTGGACAACCCTCGAATAATTCGATCGGCTCCGAGTTGCCCATTTGAATTCCCTCGGCGAGGAATTTCCGAAAAGCTTTCCGCCGCGCCAAATTGCAGGCCGAGTCCGTAAAGCTATCTGCGCAAGCTTTTATGACTTCATCCAGAAAGAACCGAGCCAAGTTCCCACGATTCGAATCATCACTGGTTTTCGCGCTTCATTCCTGAAACGATTCCTGGCGCAAAACAGGGGAAAAATAAAAGTTTTCTCCCCCCTATTAACGTGCCTTAAAACAGAGAGAGGGGGGAAAAAAGCGCGTCGGAATACCGAAATGGTCAGGAAATTTATTAACCTCTGACGAGTAGAAAATAAATAAATAGATGAAAAAAAAAA